TCCAGACACCTTACTGTTTTTGAAAGGATAGGAACCTGCATTTCATAAGGGAAATTAACAGACCATTTATCAGACCCAGGGTCCGACCCTGTGGAGCGCTAATGTATTCAGGTTGGCAACACGACCTTAGTAACTTTGGTGTAAATTAACATCTGCTCTTTACATGTCTTCCTGGGATATTTGAAAATAAGTATGTAAACCAAGTCAAGAACCTGTAAGAGACACTGCCATATAGCTATAAGCAGCTTTTGTAGTATTCAAAGCTCCCCTTATGGATTAAGACTCCATTCTTAGCACAAACCTGCTGCCAAAGAGCCACCTAGAATTTTAGCATTGTGGCCACTGAAAGTCAGGCAGTGGGAAATCTCAAGAGTATTTCAGTAATCATCTAATAAATCATAACTGAAGGAAGTGTGGGAATATTGCCTGAAAGCATCTGTTGTGTTTTGGGGATCTGGGTGATACATAACACTATGTAGTTTTTCACCTTTCTTGGTATTGTATGTGTAGGCACTATAGGCAGTGCGCTGGAAATAGAATTCTTAAGGGGACATGCTTTGTTCTGACATAAAAACCTGTTCTCTATTCCTTGATCTAGCCCCATAGAAGGCTGTTTTGTAATGGTACCTTCATTCTATGGAGAACATTATTTTCATGGTGAATGTGTCAAACCAAGTCAAGGGTTGTAGCACAACCTCTAAAGTAGAATGTTTCTTTATATTGAACCAAAACATAGGATACCAGTATATTATAATAAACTATAGATAGAATAATATGCATAATTATGATTTGTTCATCATTCACTTGTAGCAAAATAGGGGTGTTCAAAACTTGTAAAGAAACAGCAAAAGCCCAGGAACAGAATTTCGAGATAATATTTATCATGTCTTCTTAGATTATTAAAATCATAGTGCTTTTAACACCAGGTTGCAGAAAGAAGAGTTAACCATCGATGATGTGGTTTTTCTCTTTTCCTCCTTTTTCTTCTCTTTACCCCCAATCTCTCTGGAGCCAGTGACGGTTGGAGAGCCTCTGCCCTGCTTAGAGAGTTCATTTTAGAGGACGTTCCAGTGTCTTGCCCTTTGTCTCTCCCTGAGTGTTGGTGAGCACCTGCTTGATTGCTGGTCCTCATACAGCTCCTCAAAGCTGCATGCCCATGCAGTCAGCTGCCATGATTCCTTTCTGGAAACCCTATTTTAAACTGTGTTAACAACTATAGTATTTTCTCATATGTACAAAGGATTAAAAATCAAATACATTGATAGATATTAAGCAACATTAGTGATTTTAAATTGTGAAAAGAGCCCCTAAAGATAGATTTTGAGATTTAAAAAATAGTTCACATCAATTACAGAAATATTTCCAGGTTGTTGAGCAGACTAAAAATGAAATGTTTTGTGTAAAAAGATTTGATATATGTTTAAAATATTGTGCAATGGGCATATATTTCTAGACTTGATGACTACCTATCGATCTCTGATGTGTCTAAAGAAGAATTCACTGCCTTTACCTTACTTTGCTGTGATACAAATCAATGAACTACAGGCACATGTGAAACATACTCCTGTGGATTTATACACATTTAGAACAAACCTAAATTTTTTTTAGGTTCGCTAACTTGGTTAATAGCCACATATTTGCCAGAATTATTAATGTTCATAAATAACAATCTTGATGGGCTGCAGATAACATATATTGTGGGTTATTCCAATGTCCAAAAGAGCAGCTATTACTTTACTACTTTTCCCTCACTCAAGAAAGAATATTGAAAAACAAATAGGTGAGAATCCCAGTATCATCAGGAATGTTTTCAGTCTGTTTTCATCTATTAAAAATAAATCAAACTCTGTAACTTTATTGCAGATTAACAAAATGACATTCAGTGTCCTCACTTGTGATAGATTCTTGTCTGGCCCCATCATGGGTGCCCTTGATTATTATAAACATACATTGCAGCACTAGATTAAATTCCATTGATTGACCTACCTAACATAAAAGTGCTAGCTATAATAAGCATTCAGTATTTAAATAAACACCAATTAACCCTTTGAGTGTAAATAAAGTTACATGTGAATTATTTTGCTAGCAATTATTGAATTGGGAAACATTGCAAATAGGTGTGGATAAGCTGCTTGGAAAGCTTGTTCAAGGATGTTTGTTTTGTGTAATACACAAAAAAGCAAATATAGTTATCCAAGTCATTCTGTTATTTGCAAGTCTGTATTTAAATGCCTTGTGGATAGCAATAAGCACTTGCTTTTGATGGTGATGGTGGGTTTTTTAATGAAAAGTGCTTTTGAAGGGCTGACTCAGATATTGTCTTCCCTTCCTGTTTCTCACGTTATTCAGCCCCGTAAATAGAAATCTAGATCATTAATCCAAAGTAGTGTTAGCTGTAAGCTCTTCTTTAACTCTTCATGGCCACTGCCAGTTCTTCCAACATGCAATTTTATAATTTTCTAGCTGTCTTGTGGAGAGAGGTTTGGACAGAAAAGCATTTTAAGGCTAGATACAAGCTTCCAACACCATACCCTGCAACCCTGCCTTTTCTTGCTCTGCTCAACTCTCTGTGAATTCAAATCTTGTTCAGTAGTGCTGCCTTTAGAATGTAAGATCTATATATAAATAGTACAGCTAGGGAGGAGAACCTTAGTTAAGATGAGAAAGATATAAATGATATCATAATATTTCTCATGCTGTTTGACATATTGTTGACAGGCCATCACTGTACTTCATACACTATTAGAAAATGATAAAGTACTGTAATTACTAGGCCATTTATCACATAGATTTAACATGAAGCTTCAAAGTTTCATCCCTAAAGTGATTTGGGATGACAAGCATAAGAGTCTCTTAATCTTCACAACTGATGGTGAAAGAATTAGAGTTGTTTAATTAGAGTATTAATGATTCACCAGCTAATGACCAGAGAGATGAATGATGAGACTTTCCACACCTTATTTAATGAATTATATGTGGTCACCATGCTATTCATTATCAAAATTATGGTTTGTAAAAATATAATTTGCATTGTATTAGTTATTCTATGCTGTAGACATAAACATTCTTACTTGACTTTTCTTTTTTAATTTAGATATTTTTTGTTGGTTTTACCTTCTCGAGCATGTAGTAGCTTCATATCTAGAATCCAGTAGTGTGGAGAATGATCAAATAGGACTAAGGTAGTAATGGCTGTTTGAATGTGGAGAAAGGTATATGGTGTGTGGTTTGTGTGTTTGCATATGTGTGTGTACATGGCTAATTCAAGACTAAAATTATCCTGATATACTATTGTAATGCAGGACTGAAACCAGTAAGGTAAAATGACAGTGATCTAACTATTAAATATAGTACTTCTATGAAAAATCAGTTGTACAAGGACAGAGTTGCACATAAGTTAGGCCCTATGTACCCTAAGAGTACTTTGTGACTGGTAAAAATAATAAGGCACTTTCACAACGCTTTAATAAAATAGAATGCAGGTGTAGAAGGCAATAGTGCTGTCTGCTGGTTTAATAACATTTGCAGTATTGTATTCAGTTATCAGATACAGATAAAGGAGGACATACACAAAACAAAAGCCCATCTAAAGGAGACAGTTTGTGAAATATTTGGAGACCTTGAAGATGAAAGATTCCTTGACTGTTCTAAATGTTAGGAATCCAAAGAAGACAAACCTTAGAGAAGATACACTGTGTTTAAATATTTGAAGGAATAATGCCCGGCTGGTGTGGCTGAGTGGTTGAGCATTGACCTGTGCACCAAGAAGTTTCCAGTTGAATTCCCAGTCAGGGCACATGCCCAGGTTGTGGGCCCGATCCCCAGTGGGGAGCATGCAGGAGGTGGCCAATCGATGTTCTCTCTCATCAATGTTTCTCTCTCTCTCCCTCTCCGTTCCTTTCTCTCTGAAATCAATAAAGAAAAAAAATAAATATTTGAAGGAATGTAATGGAGATTAGATTGTAGATTTGGTTCTGTGTTGCTCTGAAACAGAATGTCTCAAGCTATAGCTCTCCAGATAGAAAATGGGTCATCTATGCGTCATGAGTGTCACCCTCGTAATGTCTCCTTCCTAGTGTTAACTGAAGTTACATACCATTTGTCAGGGATGCTATAGAAGAAGGTTCACAAATGAACTCTTAGGCTCCTTCAACTCTAAAATTTATTGAATCCAGTTATGAACCTGAATAATTACAAGCTGTGTTTTAGAGCACTCTTGACAGTGAAACTTACCAGCTCTGTTAGAAGCTTTTAAAAGTGAATATTCTTGCCTGGCCCGTGTGGCTCAATGGTTGAACATCAACCCATGCACCAAGAGGTCGCTGTTTCAATTCCTGGTCAGGGCACATGCCCAGGTTGTGGGCCTGAGCCCCAGTGGGGGGCATGCAGGAGGCGGCCAATCGATGTTCTCTCTCATCGATGTTTATATCTCTCTTTTCCTGTCACTCCCTCTCTGTCTAAAATCAATAAATAATTTTTTTTTTAAAAAGTGAATATTCTTTGTTCATGAGTCTCTCTTTTCTTTCTTTGATTAATCCCTTCATTCTTCTCTCCTACCATCCAACCCCCTTCCCTCTTAAAGCTGTCAGTCTGTTCTCTATATCCATGACTCATGGATATGACAACAATATGGTGATTTCCAGAAGGAAGGAGGAAAGGGGGAAGTAGAAGAGGGTAAAGGGACAAAAAATGGTGATAATATTACTTTGGGATGGTAAATACACAATAGAATATACAGATGATATACTATAAAATTGTACACCTGAAACCTGTATAATTTTATTAACCAATGTCACCCTCATAAATTCAATAAAAAAGTAAATATTCTTAAATAATTAAAATAGATACAGTAGATGGTTAAGAAAAACAAAGTGGTAAAAAGAAAAATGACTGATTTATGTCTTGACCTTTAAAGGCATCCAGGATACTTAAAATATATTTTATTGTATTTACTGCATCTGAAAATTTTATTTTACTGAAATGAAATATTTTCACTTTAGGTTTTCAATTCCAGTTATTGCAACAGCAGAAAACTGCATTCTTACTATTTATCCATATTTGGCAGTTCCTCTTGATGACAAAGACATTATTGTAAGGAATGGTAAGTTGCATATGACTGTTTTCTCTCTATCACTGTATATGTTCTTGTTATTCAAGACTGACACCTAGAAGTAAAGTGGCTTTAAAAATTAACAGATGTTGCCCTGGCCAGTGTGGCTTAGTTGGTTGAGCTTCGTCCTGTGCACTAAAAGGTTTGCAGGTTTGATTTCTGGTCAGGGCACATGCTCAGGTTTCAGGCTCGATCCCCGGTGGGGGTGTCCAGGAGGCAGCCAGTCAATGTTGTGCTCTCACATTGATGTTTTTCACTCTTTCTCCCTTCCTCTTTCTCTAAAAAGAAATAAAAATATCTTTTAAAAATGAACAAATGTTGTCCTGATCGGTGTGGCTCAGTTGGTTGAGCATCATCCCTTGCACTGAAAGGTCTCTGGTTTGATTCCCAGTCAGGGCCCATGCCTGGGTTGTGGGTTCAGTCCCTGGTCAGGGTGCATACAGGAGGCAACTAATAGATGTTTCTCTCTCACATGAATGTTTCTCTGTCTCTTTCTCCCTCTCCTTTTGTCTCTCTCTAAAAAAATTAATAAAAACATATTTAAGAAAAATAAAATAGCCCAGCAGGTGTGGCTCAGTGGTTGAGCATCAACCCATGCACCAAGAGGTCGCCAGTTCAGTTCCCTGTCAGGGCACATGCCCAGGTTGTGGGCCAAATCCCTAGTGGGGGACATGCAGGAGGCAGCGAGTCGATGTTCTTTCTCATTGATGTTTCTATCTCTCTCCTCTCCCTTTCTCTCTCTAAAATCAATAAAAGAAAAATATTTTAAAAATAAATTAATAAAATAAAAATTAGCTGCCCTGGCCGGTTTGGCTCAGCGGTTAGAGCGTCAGCCTGCGGTCCGGAGAGACCCGGGTTCGGTTCCCGCTAAGGGCGCATACCTTGGTTGCAGTTTGTCCCCGGCCCTGGTTGGGTCGTGTGGGTGGCAGCCACTCGATGTGTCGCTTTCATGTCGATGTTTCTCTCTTTCTCTCTCCCTCCCACTCTATCTGAACAAAATATCGAAAAAAAAAAATTAGCAGATGTTTATTAAACTCCTGCTATTACCAGCAGCTATGTTTAGTATTGCAAGTAGAATATGTCAGTGTCTCTTAACTCCAAAAGTTGACAATCTAATGAGGGGCACATAAATAAATTAATACAAAAAGAATTAAATTAACTCTATGTATATGTGAATGTATTGGACTTTGGGGGTAGTGCAGAGAGGTTAATGCAGATGTTGGGGGTCAGGGATGACTTTATAGAAGAGATGACATTTGTGTAGAGCTTGACAAATCATGATCTTGAACAGGATGATTGAATCAAAGGGTGATATAGCAAAAGCATGGGGTTGTGATAGGAGACACAAGGCAGGCTGTGTAGGGGCAGAGCTGCACCACTGCGCCCTTTTCTTCTGTTACAGAGGGAACCATCTGTGGTTTTTGAGTATCAGTAATTTCGAAAGGAGGCAATTGTTGGGATACAAGATGAATCAAACTGAGAAGGAAAGTGGTCAGTAGACTCACTGGGAGTTGCTTCAGGGGAAATGGTGAGAAAAGAACAATTAGAAGAGAAACTCCTGAGCAGGGAGAGATATAAAATACAAGGCACGGGAGAGGATGGTGGATGGAGTAAATCTCAGGGGAGGAAAAAGGATGGAGAATGAGAAAAATTCCCTCTGTATATAGATTGTCAAGGCCTGAAGTTTGAATGATGTGTTGGAGGTCTCTTCTGTTTATAACAAATTTTCTCATATTCTCCACTTGTTTATTCAAATGTTGACCTCTCCTATGAAACCTACTCAATCCTATTCTTCCTCAGTCGCAGGAGATGACCTTTTCTCTGACTTTATAGAGGAAATAGAGACCACCAGGCAGGAGCACTCTGAACTTCCAAATATCAAGCATGCACTGGAACCCATTATCTCTTCTCTCAGAAAGCTTGAAGGCAAAACTGGCTCCTGACTTAGGCCATTGCTTGATCTTGCTTAATCAACTAACCTGGCATACTCTTGCCCTTCAACTTCTACCTCCCGCTTAGCTGCTTTGAGGGAGTGTGCTGGATGACAGCTGGGAGGAAAGGAGATGATATTCTCTCATGGGACTGGCTCATTCCCAAAGAGGAAAGAAGGTGAATTCAGGCCATGCATGCTTGATTTAGTCTTTCCAACTTACAATAGGATGAACCACACAGTTTCTCAGGGAGAGGAAGAAAATTAGCAAAGGAAAGTGGGATTTTAGAGTACCTCCCCTCCATTTAGTGGGAAGGAAATATCAGGGGTGAAGAAGAAAATGTTCTTCCATTACACTACCATACCTTTGCTACTCAGCAGCAATTTATACTGTTGACTGTTTTCTCTCTCTCTTTCTCTGGCTAATCCTGATGTTATTTTAAAATATTTTCCTAATATACTGGGTAGAATGAGGTAGAGACTTCAGATAACACACCATAGAAGGAGCAATGGATAAAGAGTCATAGAATCTGGGTGGAAATCTATTTTGTGTGTTAACCTCACCATTTTGCCATATGATTTTATCTTTAGATTTCAGATCCCCAAACATCTGTTATTGAGCAAAATGTGCATGGTGAGGGAGTAACAGGGTACTAACAATATATGCTTATCTATTTCAAAAAGTTATTCTGATGACTCTTAGACTGTAAATACCTGGGAATTATTATTATTATTATTTTATTATTGCTATTATAACTGTTATTATTTTTATTGTTTTATTACTCTTTTATATTTTTCATAAAATACTCCCAGAAAATAATGAGGTATTCCTATACAAAATATTATCTCTTTAAAAGAAAAAAATGAGTCAAATATTTGTGTTTGTAGGATGATTGAGTACAAAGTATATGGGTTAAAAAGAATGCATTTATTTGGGTAATTATTACTGTAGAAAGACCATGATTCTTAAATATTCTAAAGTATCTTTATAAATATGTACAATAATAATTTATAATACATATTTAGTGCTTTCCAAACATATGGTGCTCTGCTAAGTACCTTATATTTATTTCATTTAGTCCTTTCAACAACTTTGAGTTCGATACTCTTCCTAATCTCACTTTACAGGTTAAGGGAATGAGTCATAGAAAGCTTGAGCAACTTGCCCCAGGCAATACTAACCAAATTTGTGAGCTATCAGAGCCTGCACACTTAGTAGCTACTGTGCTCTAGAGTAGATTATGTTCAGTAAAGGTGAAATCTTAAAACATATTAAGTACATCCAAAAGTAAAACAGTATGGTTTACTTGTTATAGCTAATATGCTAAATAAAAACTATTATATGAGTCGCTAACTTAATTTGAAGGATACAGATGTGGGTTTGTATTCAACTAGGAACTTTTTTTTTTCTTTATTGGTTTTGAAGAGAGAGGGAGAGATAGAAACATTGATGAGAGACAACATCGATTGGCCGCCTCCTGCATGCCCCCCACTGGGGATCAGGCCCACAACCTCAGCATGTGCCCTGACTGGGAATTGAACTGATGACCTCTTGCTGCAATGCTCAGTCACTGAGCCACACTGGCCAGGCTCAACTAGGAACTTTTTATAAGTGAATTGATAGGTTGGAAAGATACTGCCTAATGCATACACAATGATTCATTCTATTCTTGAATTCCGTAAAGCTCACTTCTATGAAGTTTATAGTGGCATAGCATTCTGGAGCTCTGTACACCTACTGGATAAACATTCTCAGGCAAATTCTAAACTGGCTTTATACTGAAAGTGGAAGAAACATAGTATATCCTAGCATATTTGTATGTGTTATTGCTCTTAAAATAATTCTCACAAGAGATTCATGAGCTCAGAACCTTTGATTTCATTTTATGGATAAAAACATGTTGCAGAGAACTTGTATAATACACCCATGGTTTAACAGCTCAGGAGTTGTAGTGCTAAGCTTTCAAATGAGATTTTTATAACTGTACAGGCCATGCTTTTCTGATAGAATTACATTATGAATTTATGTATATGTATATCTATATACATACATACATGCACATATATGTGGATAGATGGATAGACAAAAGGGCAGAGGGACAGATAGATAGATACATACATACATACATACCTCTATACATACATAGATAATCTGCCCTAGGTCAGATTTACTGCTTTTTCCTTGGTCACATTGCCTTTGGTTGGGTTCAGATTACCATGGTGGCAAACTCTAGTGTACATTTGATATTATTTGCAACTTCAGCTGGAATAGAGATTGAAGACTGTGCAAAATACCGTCAGCTCATAACCAAGCAGGGATTTTATTTCAGAAATCAGGAAGAAATTAGTAGGAAGGAATTACTTTTGTTAGTGACACAGTTTTTTTACTTGTTTTTGAGCACCATATATAGTACTTTCAAACATTCTGGTGTAAAAACACTTAAAGTGTTTTATTTTTTTTAATTTTAATTTATTTTTTAATCATCACCCGAGGACATTTTTCCATTTTTTTGTTCAGATAGAGTGGGAGGGAGAGAGAGAGAGAGAGAAACATCAATGTGAGAGAGACACATCGAGTGGTTGCCACCCACACGACTCCAACCGGGGCTGGGGACAAACAGCAACTGAGGTACATGCCCTTAGCGGGAACCGAACCTGGGTCTCTCAGGACCGCAGGCCAACGCTCTAACTGCTGAACCAAACCGGCCAGGGCTAAAGTGTTTTACATATCCTCATTTATGCTAAAGTTGAGCATTGTTTATTCTTCAGAAACTTGGATATACCATAATAATTTCCTTACCAAACAAAGTTCATTTGATTCAGGCAAATATGTTGCCCTTCATGTTATTTTTTTCTTATTTGACATCTTATTTTATGTATAACAGACATTTGGGCTTTTTCCTTTTATTTTATTTAATACATATTATATATGTTATATATGTATTTATGTATGAAATTATGAAATTCAGGTTCAGGAATTTGAAATTAAATTCAATAGTAAATGTACAAATGCTTATTTGACCTACTATGGTGCAATGTGTCATTTGCAGACAGGGATCCCATTGCTGTGAAGACTATAGACAATGTTTTGCTTCCTTCTGCAACAGCTGGATTATCCTCTTCTGCTCCTTCTGTATGTGACGATGTTGAACCTGAGAAGAGATTATTTATTGGTATGTGGTAAATATGTAGTGTACTGTTCAAACTCAGTGTATAACATGATCTGTTTAATATTATTTAATTAAGCTTTGTTTTTTTTCAGGTAATAAGAAATACAAGAGGAAAACCATGAATTTGTCATTAGTTTTAAGTGGGTCATCTGCTTTGGGCTCTCTCTCCAATAATCGAAAGCAGATATTCTTTAAAGGTTTTACTTCATAGTGCACTTAATATTGCAGCAATTTTCCCCTAGGCTAAAGGATGTACTTAGCAGTTCCATTTATAAAGTGGTTTGGCCAAAAACCTAAGAGTAGTAGTATATGTGATAGCCAACAGATGTTGTAGTGATACTTAACTCAAATGCTAAATATCCAGCAGAACCCCTATGAATCTGCTGTGGCATCCCAGGTACCCTATGTGCACAGTTTGGGAACTGTCAAACTAAGTGTTTGTGCGCTAATTACCTAGCTGGGATTTAATGTTGCCTATTTTAGAATGAGAAGGGCACAGAAAAATGTGTGAATTTGATATTATTTGCAATTAACTATTCAAATATTCCTTTCTCTGGAGATGGGTAGTATTGAAAAATTTTCATTTTATTAAATGGACCAGACCAAATGAAATATTGTGAGGTTTTTAAATGAGTTGTGCTTGTGCCCTTATATAGGCAGATATTTAAAAGAATATGATCAAGTCATTTTATGTTCTTGAAAATTTCTCAAGAATTGACTCAGAATGCTTTGTTTTATTGAAGTGCTTCACTTGAATAGAAAGTCACTTTGCAGGAAGCCAGTATTTTGTTTCTGTAAGTTTTTCAGCTAAGGTTTAACTCTAACAAGCAAAACTAAAGAGTTACTAAAATATTTTACATATGTAATTGAAAATGAAAGGTTCTATTTTTGGTAGTGTTTTTATATATCATTATGGCAAGAAGAAAATTTAATGGTGTTTTTTTTTTGTTTGTTTTTTGTTTTGTAATTCAGCTATTTTTAAAGTATTTCTGTTGGGTATTTGAAAATAAATCTATTTTCCTTTTTCTTTCTTTCTTTCTTTTTTAAAGATACCAGTTAATTGGATCAGATTTTCTTTGACTGCATTTTAGAATGAGCTCTATTTGTCTACATACAAATTGCAATAGTTGACAGAATATGTTACTCTATGGTCAAGTAATCCCTTTTACAAAAAATTGTGAATTTTAGGAATGGACACAACAGTTACAAAATTGAACTTGGCCAAAAGTGAAAAGTCAAAGAAGAAAGGCAAAAAATTGATGGAAGAGGAGGAGAAAAATCAGAAGTTTATTCCTGAACCAGGAACAAAGGCATATGACTTCTTTCAGAAGATTGTAAATGCAGCTCAGTCCTGGTTCAGCCTCTTTGGCTGGCCTGAAGGACCGCATTCTCTTTCTATTCCAGAGACTATAAGAAGGTGACAGTTGCATTTTTCTCTAAATTCCTTGCTTTTTATTATATAACAAAATATTATCTATTAATTGGGGTTGTTTTAAGTGAAATACAATATTAAATAGTTTATTCTAAACTGATAAATTATGAGGAGGCTATTAAAGAAAGCTAAAAGATACAAAAATAAATTCTTTAATATACACATACATTTCTATTCCTTCTAAACATCCAGTGATTTTAGGCAGCACTGAAAATCTCTGAACCTCAGTTTCCTCATTTGCCAAGCACAAAGGGTAAACTGTGGGTAGGATAAGCTTTTTTAAACTTGAGAAAAAAGTGAAACCACATTTCTCTACTAGACTATAGTCAGGTAGACCGTGGTATTATTGAACAAGGAGTGTCAAATTCTTTGGCACCACCTCCTCTTCGACAATACATTTAACTCACACTTTCATGTGTTGTTTTATTACTCAACATGTCTGAAATAGTTGAAGTGCATTGGTTACATCAAGTCACTTAATTCTGTTAATTTAAACAGGAAGTTAGGCACCTCTCTGGTTATTACGTTGTTGTTGTGGTTCTTACGTTGTTGTTGTGGTTCTCAGAGCTTGTGCACCTCCTTTCTCAGCATTTTGTAACTTACTGGCACCATGAGGGTGAGTACTAATCTCTAGTTAGAAGGACTATATTAGGATTTTTGCATCTGTATTTAGGAGGAAGCTAGGTTACGTTAAGTCTATAGTTTTCCTACAAGTTAACTTTTTCAGTTTTTTAGATTAATAAGATAAAATTAGCTACATAGAATAAATTCGCAAAGATTTTATCTTTGTCTGTGGTGAGAGAAAATGAATGCAGCAGATACCCTGAAAATATACCAGCTTGATCATGAAATCATTTCCAGGGAATTTTTGAGAGAAGTTACTCTGTTGTAATTTTTCAGTTTTTTGCTTTGGTGTTTGTTCTACTGAAAATTTTACCTATTTTGAGTAACGTCTAATGATTTGTGTGTGTGTGTGTGTGAACTCAAGGAAGTATATTTTACTTGAATATCACTTTTATGACAAATTGATGCCAAATTAATGAGTACTTTCACTTTGTTATGATTATGAACAATGGTTTGTATTCTTTATGTTACCAATATTATTTACTTTTAATTAATTATTTATTTATGAAATTTATTGATGTGACATTGGTTAATAAAATTATATAGTTTTCAAGTTTATGATTCTATTAATACATTTTCTGTATATGGCATTGTGTGCACACCACCTCAACTCAAATCTTCTTTCCTCACCATATATTTGACTCTCTTTACCCTTTATTACCCCCAACCTCCTTCCCTCTGGTAGCCACCATACTGTTGTTTATGTCTATGAGTTTTTGTCTGTTTGGGTTATTTTTTTGTTTATTCATTTGTTGCTTTCTGTTTTATATGCCAATTGTGAGTGAAATCATATGGTTCTTGATTTTTTCTGTCTAACTTATTTCACTTGGCATGATAGTCTCAAGATCCATCCACATTGTCACAAATGGCAGTACTTCATCTTTTCTTATGGATGAGTAGTATTCCACTATATATATGTACCACATCTTCTTTATACAATCATCTACTGAAGGATACTTCCTTGTTTCTATAGGTACAAAACTTATGGACCTTAGTCTTAGAGAGGATTTTAAAATTTGACCCCAAGGCAAGGGAAATAAAAGCAAAAATAAATTATAGGCTTATATCAAACTAAAAAGCTTCTGCACAGCAAAATATTTCTTTTCATTTGAGTGGAAATCATTGATTGGGTATTTACAATTCATTATTTAACTATTGCGACTACTAGTACTATTTGTGATTATAGTCTTATTCATTTATATTTTTTCTTTTTTTTTTTTTGTTAATCCTTACCCAGGGATATTTTTCTATTTATCTTCAGATAAAGTGGAAAGGGGACAGAGAGAGAGAGAGAGAGAGAGAGAGAGAAACATCGATGTGAGAGAGACACATTTACTGGTTGCCTCCCACATGACTCTGACCAGAGTGGGGATGAACCGCAACCAAGGTATGTGCCCTTGACCAGAATCGAACCCACAACTTGTCGGTCCACAGACTGACACTCCAACCGCTGAGCCAAACTGGCCAGGGCTTTATTTTTTTCTTGATTATAGATATTAGCAGTTTACTTTTATGTCTCATATAACAAATAAGTTCTTGGATTAATTTATCCTTTTCTATATGTTCTCAATCACTAAATGCTGATTTTTTTTCTTTAGAATTTACTTTTTCTTTAAACTTGAATTGTATGCTTAATTATTTTCAGGTCTGTACATTTATCTCTTTATGCCACATTGGATACATCCCAGAATTTTTGCTATTAAGCATTTTCATTTTTGTTGTGTTCTACAGAACCTGTGATTTTAATTTTCTATATTTTTACCATAATAATGACTGCTATTTGTTGCATAATAATCTATTGCATTCATGCATTATTATTACTTGCCCATTTACATCAATTATTGTCCATTACTTATGTAAATATTTTTCTCTATTTTCTTAATATAAAGAATGCTGAAATTTTATGTATCTGTTTATAAATGGTAGCAGACCTTTCTGGATGTTCCATAGGAAGGTTCTCAAAGGGTACTGGATTAAATCATATAAGCTTTTTAAAGTCACTTATACTTTTGGGTGATTTTCTAGTAAGTATTTTACTTTATATACCCACCAGGGAGTTAAATTGCATTGTTGATGTGATTGTTTCCTGACCAAGTTGAGTACTTTGCTGTTTTGATAAATGAGAAACAGCCTAGGTCACTGGGTGCAGCTGGGGGAAAGGCAGTTCTAGAGGAGTATGAGGGCCTCTCTAGTCCTGGGAAAGAAGCTGCCACAGCCAAACAACTTTGAAGAAAGATAAACATTATCTAAGTAGCAATGTTATTCAGCGCCAATTCTTTATTTGGAATATTTGGATCATGGACTTTCAGGCTAAGACACCTCCAAGGTCATGTATTCTTGTCAATATTTGAACCTCCTCCATAATATCTCCTACATCATTTGGAGTTACTCATTAGTTATGGTATGACTGTTGTAATATTTTGTGAGTACTGTTCATTCTCTCAGAATTATTTTATAGTTTGCGTTTCTCTGCTAATCTTTCATTCTATGGTTTATTAGAATAAAATCTGAGCATAATATTTTGTATCATTTAATCTACTTGGCATTTGGAGATTCACTTAGAAAACTCATCTTTCAACTGTTCTTTTCTGTCTCCTTTTCTTTGGAAAATTTCTCTATTTTCTGTTCCTTAATCTCTTTTAAGAATGATGGTGGAGCCTGGCTGGTGTGGTTCAGTGGCTGAGCATTGTTGTCCCATGCCCCAAGAGGTCACTGGTTTGATTCCTGGTCAGGGTACATGCCCAGGTTGCGGGCTTGATCCCCAATGGGGGCGTGCAGGAGGCAGCCAACAGATATCTCTCTTCTATGTTTCTATCTCCTTCTCCTTCTCCCTTCCTCTCTATCTAAAAATCAATGAAAACATTAAAAAAAAAATGATGGTAGACCTGCATTACTAATGCTTTTATATCCCTCAAGTTTATCTTCTGTTTTTTTTCATGATTTTCTCTTTTACTTTCTTATACTTATAGACCTCCTTCACGTTCTCTTTCAGTCTTATATAAGATGTTTAAATTGGAATTTAGGGTATTTTATTCTGAGTACTCTATTTTTCTTTTCTTCTTCCTTCCTTTTGTCCTCCTTCCCTCTCTTTTTTCTTTCCTTCTGTCTTATTTCATAATACCCTATTTTTGTGTTATGGATGTATGCCTTCTCAAATATCTCTTCCACATATAGTACTTCTGTTAAGCATCATGATTACCTTACTATAGGTCACTTCCTCCCTCTATATTAGCTGACTCGGAACTTGGTGCCACTCTTATGTACCGTTAGGAAAACGGCTTTCTTTCCCCTGTAGCCTACTGCTGTGCTGTCCATAATTTTGATTTATTCTTTAATACAATTCCATCCATTGTCTGTCTTATAAATATTCTTCAAAGTTTCTGGTATAATAATGGTTCTTTTCCAGATTTCAGTGTTGTTACAGGTTTATTCCCTTTCTCTAACCTTTCTGACATTTCGTGTATGTTTTGAGAGGGAGAGAAGGTAAGCACATATACTTAGTTTGTTCTCCTGAATAGGAAGTTGCTTTTCCTTCTCATAGTTTTCTGTAGTTTTACTCTTCCATTTATCTTCTTATAGTTCCAACTTAATGACTCATCATTTCTGTTATTGATTTCATTATTGCCATCTGATAATCCATGCCCTTCTGAACTTGCTTTGCAGTATCCCTCTTGCCTTGTTTCTTAAAAATTAGTTTTATGATATTTTACTAATAATAATGATTAATATATTTTGGACCTTTACTATGATGTAAAAGTTCAGGCATTATTATATGTGATTTGTGGATAATAATTCATTTACTCTTTATAACTACCCCGTGAGGTAGGTACTATTATTAGTTAGCTCCATTATACTGAAGAGAACCTGAGGCATAGAGAGAATAAGTAATTTTCACAGGTCACTCAGCTAATGAATAGCAGAGCCAAGATTTGAACATTCCACCCCAGAAGCTCTCCTTTTGTATAAGTATATAGAATCTTACCAAGAATCCAGTTAATCAGTGGAATGTTCTATACATCATGAGAGCATGCAAAATGAAAATATTTTCTCTAAGCCTCCATTTCTTCATTTGTAAAAAGGAGATAATGACAATAGCTACCTTACAGTGTTGCTGTGATATTTAAAAAAGGTAATGCCTTTAAACTATTAGAACAGAACTTAGAACCTAGTAAATATTCAGTAAATGGTAGCTATTCTTATTAAATTGAATTGGGATTATGCTAATAGTGTTATGTATTTCTGTTTTAATTAATCATATTCACCAACTCTTCTATTTGGCCGTGGAAGGTAAATTTAAAACCCATCATTTCTAAGCACTTACTCAAATGCTATTTCATTAATAATACTTCTCCTTCCTTGCA